AATAAATAAGCAAACATCGCTTAAAATTAACAATTTTTCGTGTGCACGTGTGTGGACAACAGCGCTTTCAAATGAAATTAACTCGGAAAACAATTTATTTTCACTTCGATGGAAACAAGCTATAAGATTTTTATATATTTAGCAGTACCGCCATTGTTAAAATGCATTGCTCTCGCATGTTTTTTTTGCAGCTCTCGCAGTATTTTTGAACGACTTTTTTACTAAGTTGTATGGAAATGGTAGGCGGCAACATTTATTTTAGTTTCAATTTTAATTTATTTATGTGTATTTATATGTATATTTTAGTTTTAGTTGTTGTGGTTTTTCGTTTGTTCAGAGTTGGCCTTAGAATTAATTTATTCTATATATGTTTTTGTTTTGTGTGTTAAGATATTTTACATGTACAGTTGTATGTGTGTGTACGTGTGTACGTACTTTAGTTAGGTTAGTTATCGTGTTAATTAAGTTTAACTACATAACTGTAAGTTAAATGCTTTTTTTCTTTTAAATCGTAACTAATTAATAATATTTAAAATGTTTCACAGACATAAAATGATTAGGACATACATATTCGTCTTCGAGATTTTTTTTATGTAATTACGTAAATTTCACTCGTAGATATTTACAAATTATTTGCAAAATTTTACATACATTTTACAATAATAACAATGAAAGCATTAATTAAGTACATACATTTCACCATTATTGCTGTGTTGCTCTAAACAAAGATGTTTTGTTAAAACACTTTTATAATATTTTTTTTTACTTATCAACATATACCATATACATTTTACATATACATAAATACATACATATAATAGTACATACACAACGCAATATTAAAAATACATACATACTTAAAACTAGCAAGTACTACACATACACTACATATCAGCTGCTGCCATTTTTCGCTTTACGCATTTTAATATTTTTAATTTAGTTTTTTAATTTTAATTGACACAAGGATTCATAAGTCAGAACTATTTCGGTTTATTTCAACTATTTAATAAATATTTAGGCAAAGACCCTTAAAAATTGAAATCAAGTAAGTACCTAGACCAAAAATAAATAAGGTTTACAAACCTAACAGCCAGTTCAAAGAGATTTTCGAATGGAAATTTGATTTATGTTTTTTTTTTAAGTTATCACTTAAGTAAAAAAAAAAAAATTTAATTTCTTTTCTCTCCAATCGGCAAATAAAAGATTTCATTTACTTATAAATTCAATGAACTATCAAAGCCATTTAGATGAAAATAAATTGAAAATTAAAACTTAAAGTATACAATTTTTCACTTAAAATACTTTCATGAAACCGGCTGCAAAAATATAATGTCTGACTTTTGTATTGCATATTTATTTATTTATTAATTTTTGTAAGTCTACATGTATGTGTATGTACGTGCATGCATGTAATTGAGTATTTTCATTATGCTTATGTACTTACAAAAGTATTACTTAAAACTATTATTACAAGTAGTTATTCCTTTTATGCTTAATTAATAACAATATTCACTGGAATGCAAATATAAATTACAATCACAAAAATATTTATTATACAGACATAGTAGATTTTAATTTTTCACTCAATATTAGTAATGCAAAAATATATTTCGACGGACAGTTTCGCTAAAAGCAAGATAGTGTGGTGGAGGCTGCCTGCCATTAGGCCAGTCTACTTGAATTGCGTGGAATACTTGTTGTCAGTATCTAGACGTTTCAAGACCTACGAGGTGCTCATAAAAAATAACTTTAAAAAAAGTCCATATCAAACGAATCACTTCAGGTCTATGGTCAATGCAGCTTTTTAGATTTTTGAAACATTTGAAAAAATTGTACGCCATTCAATAGAAAAAGAACTAGCGAATCTTGTGGAACAGCTATAGATATTTAGTCCCTTTCGAATGGGCAAAGACGTTCTTCTCGCAAATTTACATATACCGAGCCCGTTAGTATCATGGTCAAGATAGATAGGATTTTATGCAAATTAAAAAAAAAGTCAACAAAGGGGTGCGCTATTCTAAGAACCACCAGTGAATAAGTTAATAAAATTTGTAGAAAAATTTTGGGTTTGCAGTTTTGAAGCCCATTAAATTTTAATATATAAAATGCAAGTTTCAAGTGTGTACATAATACCGTTGATGTTTGGGATTTTTTATTTTTTTTTGTTGACATTGGTATTGGCATTTTCTTCCATACAAATAGTGCTCGACAAAATTTTAATGGACTACAAAATTGTATACCCGAAATTTTACTAAAAATATCACGTCCAATCGCGTAAAACTGTAAAAAAAATAAAAATTAGCTCAGAGCGAGAGAGCAACACTGAAAAGTATGGGACCGCTTTCTCATAAAAAATGGTAACTTCTGACAACTTCAACATAACCTCCAAATTTTGGTTGAAAATTTTTGCTTATTTTGTATGTAAACAAATTCAGCTCACACATCCGAATATCCAAAAGTACTCCAAATTCATTAGAATCCACTTAAACAATTTACCAGAATTTACCAGCAAACAATCTCCGGACTAAAACTGGTAACTTCTGACAGAGAGATAACTTTGTTTACTATATTTTTTGTCCTCTCAGTTGTCAGAGAACCGAGTACGGGATCGATTTCCAGATGACTGTTTTTGACTAGTCCGGGCTCGTACGGGATCGCAAATATTTTTAACTTATGCTGGTCAAAACGCATCCCTTTGTTGAAATTTTTTTTAAGTTTTATAAAATTTTAAAATCGGATTTACATGTTTTTTGTTGTAGAGTATGCTATATTTTTATAAAAATTTAATGAATGTCGTACGAATGGACTCGGCAAAACACACACAAGATTTCAGAACTGTGGATTTGTAAGGCTAATCATTCTCCCCCCGTATAGTCCTTGCGGTCACTAATGCCCTAGTTTTCACTCAGCAAGAGCTGTCTACATATAGAAAAAAGCTCCTTCACTTTCTCCTTTCTCATGCTCATACAATTGGACAGGGTGTTAGTAAGTGAAATTGGCTGCAGAAAGCCAATTCGTATTTACCTGTTAGGTATGCCCTTCGGCGTTAACGCTAGGCGTCAGAAAACGCTCCGCCCAATGCTTTTGTTTAGGTATGGCTGTTAAGGATCTCAACAACCTCGGAGAGGAAAATTAACTCGAAACTAATGGTAAATGGGAGAGCAAAACCTTTTCGCGGCGGTAAGGGACAGAACAGCATGACCATCGTGAGCGCCAAATATAGAAAAGCATCGAATACTCGTAAATGAAAAAAAAACCATGGAATGAGTGTCAAACTTACAACGTCTAGGGTTTTAAGGCAATAGAGATATTATTTAGTTTTAAAAATTTCATATTTAAAGAATACAAATCGTTTGTGAATGGAGTGTACGCAATAGGTCAAACGTAAATATTTAGTTGCAATAAAAAGGCTGACTTCCAAAACGTCAATTGCTATGCATACATACAAAGTATAATTTTCCATAACGCCGAACTACAAAATATTGACTAAATATATACTTTTCCAAAACGCATCTGAAAAGTGGTCGAAACGCATCGCTAGAGCAATCAGCGCATCAGAAACAAAGTTTGTTATTGGTTACTGGTGTTTAAAAAATGGAAAATTCAGAAAACTGGTTCATTGCTATATTGAATATTTAAAATATGCTATGTATATGGTCGCAACCATGATTCAATTATTAAAGGTTTTGTAAGTAGCTTTTTTCTAAAATTTGGCACTCCCACCCACAGGGATGGTTTTTGGAAGCAGAAGAAAAAGGGGAAGAATTCAATCACACTTCCTAAAATGGGAGCTAAATTCTATAAAAACGTGTGGATAATAGTGAATGGTGGTATTTTAAAACAAAAACGAATTTGATTTAATTATTTAATTTAAACAAGCTTATTTACATCGAATATAACCCCCTATTGTTATTAAAAATAAATATTTCTATGTTTATACCAAACTTGCGTACGTCAGATGGCGCATAACTCGAGAATGGATGGTCCACTTTCAGCTTTTTTTTTGTTGTATTTGTTTGCCAGTTGATGGACATGAAGAAGCTATTTGTTTGCGGAAAATATGCAATATTTATTAAACAAAAAAACGGCAAATAAAAAAATTTGGAGCTTACGTTTCTTTCGCGGTTATGGCTCGATTGTTTCGAATTCTTTGATGTCGCACAGCCGCAGTTGGCGATTGGTGCCGGACGAACTCAGAGCACGCAGCTACTGAACGACTGAGATAGGGAACGTGATCTACATCGTCAAATGAGAAGTGGCGTAATGGGGCTTTCGCACGAGGCGATTTTTCAGGCAACTTTTGCGTTCAACTCCCGCCGGGTTGCACGAAAAAAAATTTGAATGACTAAAAATATCAAAATATAAAAAAATATTAAAATATTCGCCATAAAAAGGCGTTTGTATTGTTCAATTTTGCATTCTACTTTCAGCTAATCGCTTTCAATAAAGTTGGTCGCCAGCCAACATTCGCCTCGTGCGTACACCTTTTAAGTGTGCAATTACATCGCGCCATTGACTAAACCGAGCTGTCGTGTGACGATTGGGCCTATGGATGCGGTTTGGCAATGTTATATTGCGTCAAAATCTCATTCGGAGACACCAGGATTGTGTCGTGGAGTACAATACCTAAATACCTTCGTTGGCTCATTGAACGCTTTACTTTACAGCGACTTGGCAGAATCAAGAGGTCTCCACGAATATCGACAAATACATTTCGGCATTTAAGGGAATTTCGTCTCTTAACATTGAATTTCTGTAGTCCAACGATTCTCACCCATTTTGTCTTGTTGGCGCCAGCGAATGCAGAACAAACATTTCTTCAAATTTAAAAAGTAAAAATTTCACTACTAACAATTTAAAAATGTTCTTAAAACTTGCAAAGAAATTTGGAAAAGAAATATCACTGTTTTTGTTTTTAGGAGTAGGGTGGGAGTGTCATTGATAAAATTAGAGCGAGAGAAAGTTTTTCTTACAAAACCTTTCATTATTGAATCATGGTCGCAACTCTGTATATACAAACAGTTTCAATACCGCAGTAGAACAGTATCCAAACAATGTATTGATACGTTTTGAAAGTCAGCCTAATTTTCATTCTGAAATGCTGAAAACTCACATGAAAACAACTCTATAATAATAACTTAATTCTTTTACAATAATACCCCGCTACCCAATTAGCTAAGCGAACACCTTTTGCTTACAACTATTAACCCTTAACTGACTAAATTATTTTCCACATCAGACAATAGTACTTCCAAATCAGATGGCAGCTCATATTCACCCTGACCGCTATTACTGGACGTTGCAATGTTCGGTAACGGCGGCGGATGATAGCTATGCTGCAACTGTCTTATGGAGTTGGAACGTTTTTGTTGCTGTTGTTGTTGTTGTTCTGGAGGAGCGGTGGCATTTGACTTGGCAGTGGTGGCTAATGGCGGTGCTGTTGTGGAATGTGCGCTGCTACGACTACGTCGGTGCTCGTGGCGTGCTGGTGCATGGTGGTTGCTGTGACTACTGTGGCTACTGTTGTGGCTGGGGTGGCTTGCGTGACTACTACCTTGACTGCTATGACTGGACAAGCTTCCCACCGCGACTAGTTGTTCCGCATCTGTTACGCGACTAAAATTAAAATTGCCTAGAACACCAGCAGAATTCGAGCTGGCACCGCTGGCGTTGGCATTGGTATTGGCGTTGGCGTTGGCGCCGTTGTTGAGCGCGGCACTGAGGCTGGCACGTGGTATGTTGCTGAAGCTAGTGTGCGCAGCAGGTAGCGCCGTCGTAAAAGTAGTTGCCGGCAGCGCGGAGCTGGCATTTGCAATGCTAGCTGTCCCTTGGCTGTTGGATTTTGGCTGATGTTGATAGGCTATACTGCTGGAGCTGCGCCGCAGCTGCCGCTCTGTGGGTATAGGCACAGCCGCAGCGACTATTGCAGTCGCATTGGCGCCATTGCTGCTGGCATATGTGGAAGTGGCTGTGTTGGTGGTTGTGGTTGCTACGAAGTTTTGTGCGTCATTTGGGAAGGTACTTGGCTGATATGTATTGGCCGCAGCATGGCTGCGTAAATTCATATTTGAATTGCTGCGCCGTGCCGCTACCGGCGGATCTTTGCTGTTTTTAGAGGCGCTGTTCAACTTTAAGTTCAAACTGCTACGCTTCTTCGATTTGGCTAAATGATTTTGATTTTGTGCCGCCTGACCGAGGTTTTGTGTGCTTCCAAAGTTGCGTCCCAAATTGCTGGCGGGTGGCGCGTGCTGTTGCTGCTGCTGCATGGTATTGCTTTCGCTCAGTTTTCGTGCGCTAGACGCTGCTGCATGACTGCTGGCAAATGGATTGTTGGTTGAGAATGAATTGGAGCGGTTATAGTTGTGTGCGCGTTGTTTTTGTAACGCGCCGCCAGCAACAGTAGCTGTATGTGCGTCTGTTGGCATTTTACTGACACTCGCGTTCAATTTGTTGGACCCGTTCGCGTTTGATGCCGTCGAAGCACTATTGGTGGCCACTGCGTCGTTGTTGACGGCGTTGGCGGCGCGCATTTCGCCAGTTTGTGCGCTGCATTGCAAATTCTCATAGAAGGGGTTCTCCATCTTGGAGGGCAGGGTTTTCGGATTTAGCGTCTCGTAGGTCGGTTCATTTAAAGTTAATACTTGATTGTCTTCGTTATTGTTGCGGAGTAGCAGCGCAATGCGCTTGCACTTCATCTCCTCACCACCGCCGCTGCCAGAGTTCTTGCTACCCTCGCTATTTTGATTGCTGCTTTTGCGTTTACCATCCGCACCATTCGCTGCTGCGTTTGTACTAGTGCGTGTCTGTCGCTTCGGTTTGTTGACTGCGCCGCCAATTACGTGCGTTTTAACCTTGATATTCTTGGAAAGCCGCAGCGCGAATTTGAAGGGCGGCTTATAGACTACCTGCAGTTTCACCTTGTCATTGACAAGATTCGTAACCGACTTTGACTTTTGCGGCGATTTCTGTACGAGGCGTTCGGGCGTGGACTGCGATTTGCTCATCACCTTTCGTATTTTCGAAGAGTGCTCAATATGCGATAGTGGCTGTACAACAATTGGCGACTCTAACAACCACTTTTGCACTTTGCCAAAGGTATTGGTGTGCGCATTCCCGCTAACGCTCGCCGCGTCAGCACCACTGCGTGACGAATAGTCAATGATTTCTTTGCTGTTCTTCTTGAAGCGCTTCGACCTCGACTTCGTTTCATTCTCCAGTTTAGCGCCACCAACTGTGGTAGCTAAAGGAGTGCCAAGCGCTGTTGCAACTGGCGTAGTTTTCAATGCAGTCGCACCACCACCGCTACCCACGCGATTCTTTTTTGTGCGCGAGGGTTTCGAGACTTCATCATTTACGCCACTGACACCACCCGCTGACGTCAGTCCAGCTGCTACCGCCGCGTTGCTCAGCTTTCCGCTGCGACTATGCGCGTGCGCCGACTTCGCAGTCAAATCGCCTCCGGTCTTCGCGGCCACCTTTCCACCGCCATCTTTCGCCTTGCCAGCGCGTATATTCCCATTACTGCCGCTCCTGTGGGCGCTCTTTCTTTTGTTGCTGCGCTCGCCACGTACTTTTTTCTTGAACGGAACTTTTGTACGGACGGCCGTATGCACGATGACGCCGTTGTTGTCGTCGGGTAGACGCACGGTTTCGGTGGTGGCGCTGTGTATTATGGTCACCGATTTTAGTTTCAGATTCGAGCGTTTCGCCAGCAGCTTCGTGCTGAGTATCTGTGAAAATTTGAAGTGAAAAGTGAATCAGATACATATGTATATAGCATAGTATTTTGAAAATGTATTCTCTTTTATCATAAATGCTAGCCTAAATCAATTAGCGCTGAAAGCACATGATTGTGCGTTTTTGAGTGTGAAAGAGTGGTTTCATAGATCACTAAGTCAGGCGCTGGCGTGCAATTTTCAACCATGCGATTCTTTTTGATTAGTATTGAAAGTACTAGAAGCGCACTCACTTAAAATGTTTCTGCTGATCGACGAAGCCGAATATGTTTGTACATAAATGAAAACTGCTCGCATGACGAGAGATTGCATGACAGCACCTAGCGTAATCTTAGGCGCCTGTCACACCATCAATACGGATCGCCATAATTTATGGATTTAAAAATATTTAGAAACCTTGTGATATTGATCGCGATCCATCAATGCTACACTTAACAATCCCGGATCGTGACCCAAATATCGCGATCCGTATTGATGGTGTGACAGGCGCCTTACTCGTTTACGTTTTCGATTATAATTATTTTAGTCTGTTTTGTATAAATTACTGAGAATTAGCGTTAGCATAGACCCCAAAAGCCTCTTATGATGATGACTGGCATGAGATAAAGCTTTAAGTAGCACATTTATCTAATTATCCCTTTACACTTCTAGCGAATTTACGAGAAACCTTAGATTAATCACGGACTTACTAGTTTCGCGCAATTGCATAGCTATTTTCTCTTCATATTCGTCATTTAACATTTTCGTCGCAACCTTCATGATCTTTACGAATAAGACAATATGTTATAGTATCGTAAATTTAAGTACATATACTTGTATTGTAAAATTTAGATTGAAACAAAACAATTTGCTTGGCATAAAATCTCCCAAGGTTTACAGTTTAACTGAATTTAAATCACAACTGATAATATTTTGCCTAACCTCAAAATACATCCAAAAAGGAGTCAATCATGTCTGACGTTCAAAGGAAATTCATAGGTCCTTTAAACTACCAGATCATTGCAGTATCTATCTAGCAGTGAAAAGCAGCAGAGATGCTACTTTGTGTTATCGACCCGAAAGAGCGTCGCGAAATATAAGGAGTTCCAAGCCACAAGAGTGTGGAAAGCAATGAAACAATTGACGAGTCGGGAGAGCAATTTTTTTGCACACTCGAAAAACTAAAGAAATTTAATTTTTATAGCAAATTAACTAATACTTAAGTCCCATAATTATCACGACAAAGTTTTGCCATGCAAGGAGCCAACAACTTGAGAGCTAAGTGGAATTTATTTTCCAAGAAAAGCTTATTCATTTCTGCTGAAAATATTTCCATCAGCAGCAATTATCCAGCAAGAAAAACACCTTAATAAAAAAATTAACAATTAAACCACAAATATTTGGGAGGTAAGAACATTATCCATTTCCTTATGTCTACAAATTTTGAAAAAGCCACAATAACCACGAAAATCTGGAAGCTTTTACTGAACTGTGTTAATTTATATGATTGTTATTTTGAATTTTAAATTTTCCAGTTTCTTCTCGGGGGGTTAAAGGAATTATCTTTTTACACAGGCCATCAAACTTTTGAAACAAAGATCAGACTAAATGTATTCAAAGCATTTTGACGTCTTAAAAATGTTTTCAAAATAGCTCAAATCAAGTCTGAATTTTGAAATATTTAAATTTAAAAGTATAAACATAGCTGTTTTTTTGCCATATTTGAGACGTTGCAACATCACTATTTAGTTTTTTTGTTGTTGTTATAACTGCTTATTCCCCTTACAAATATGGTCAAAAGCAGCTATTTTGGAATTTTAGATCATAATATCTGAAAATCCTGATGTGATTGAGCAATCTGGGAAACTTGGCAAGATCTTTGTTAACAAAAAAAATATATATATATATATATATATATATATATATATATATATATATATATTAAACTAAATGAAACTTACCAGTAATATAAATACACCCAACGCTGCCAACACAACGGTATACCAATTATGTTGCACCCATTTCTTGAATGTTGCAATACTTTCTTCTGACAATAGCAATTTACGTAGTGTTGCCAGCGGTCCCGATGGATCAACTTCGCGACATTTTTGGAATACATCACAATATCTAAAAGCAAGAAAACATATAAGCAAACAAGATTAACACTTCATTAGAAAGCTAAAAATGCGCTTCGCACTCACCCATTGTAATCGTTGCATGGTGTGCCTGGCTTTGCGAACATGTCCGGCACATCGAATGGTGGCTCATTCCATTCAAACGAACTGCGACATGCATTGCCCTCGCCAGGCAATTTACAACATAATTCGCACGATTTAATTGTGTCATCGGTTGGACCCGGTATGCACTGACATGACTCGAGGCCATAGGCCAAACAAATACTTCCCGTACATTCGCCCATATAACAAACGAATTCCTTATTGCAAATAGTCTTGTTTGCCTTATTCACCGAGGGCGGACATTGCGGCGTGCGGCCATCACAGAAGCTCGGATCGCGACAGCCGTTGTCATCGCGACACTTATCGCCGAATTTCAATTTACAATCGCCAGTGCAGCATGGTCCCTGTGATGGGCTGCACATGGCGCGTGGTGTTAGTGTGCATGGCTTCTCGTCGATGCGCGGATGACGTGACATTGGGAAACAACATGTGTCCTTGCAATCCTCCTCCCAGCCGCAATCGCACTGTTCGCCCGGCTCAACAACACCGTTACCACAAATTGATGCCTGCGGCTCGGTGAAACAGCCTTTGGCGCTACGTGCTTTTGCATTTAGCACCGGTTCTATGGATTTAAGTGAGCATGGGGAGAATTTGTTGTTATTCTTTTTATCACCCGATGTGGCGCGGGCAAACATAATGAAATTACCATCCTCACCGCCAGGCGTACACTGTTCCGGATCGTGCTGGACATAAATGGGAACAAATATGAAATGTAAGTGTGTTTTATGAAATGAGAGTAAAAAATAAAATAAATAAATGTGAAATAAGCATATTGGTTGTTAAATTAATTCATTAAAGAAATTATTTGATTTCCATAATATAATATATTGATATAAGTAATATTAATACAAATAATAACGTTTGAGGACGTGGCCTTGCCAAACATGGTAACACATGTGCGTATATGTGTACATTAGGGCGATCCTTAAAAATAAAATGAAAGAGTTTTTTCAGTCTCACCGCCTCAATCGATAATACCACGGTCACAGTTATCACATAGTGTGTATAAAACTTGGTCCCGATTGGAGTCGGTTAAGACGTTTTCATAGGTTGATTTGAACTTTGACCCCTGTGCGACGCGCCTTAACTGACTCCAAACGGGACCAAAATTAATATGTGATATCTTCGACTAAAGTAGTACCGATTTTGGGTAAGAGTTTTATAAAATTGTCTTTTTGAAATCAAAGATTCAAAAATTAGCACGTTTACAATTTTTTTTTTTCAGATTTTTTCGTCAACGGTTAATTTTGGTACTGAAAGAGTTAATTTTTCCACATTTTTTTTTTGACTCTCTCGCTCTCCCTAGTTGCTCCACTTACCGGTGAACCAAAATTATGTCCAATTTCATGCGCCAATGTCACATGCGATACAGCCGGAGGAACATGTTTACCATAATTGAGTAGTGTCACAATGCCAGTGTTTAGAGACTTTAGAGAGCCGCGGTAGTGCTGAAGTAGAAAAAGTAAAATGTTTTGAGGAAAATGATAAGTTTTTACAAGAGATTACCTTTTGTGAAAATGTTTTAAATTAATAGTGTTAGTTTAGTTTTAGTTTTATTAGACTTACTCCATTTTTCTCACAAACTCCACCGGCATTTTTTAGGTCACCAGTCCAAGCTAAGCCTAAGGTACCCATCTCAAAGTCTCGATATGTAAACATGTATGCCAGACAAAAAGCATCGTAATCTTCCTCTGTGAATAGAAAAATTAAATAACTCAAATTACTTTATTTTATTAATTTAAATATATTTTTGTTTTGTTTTAATTGCTCGTTATTTCGACTTCTGTGTAAAGCTATCTTCAGGCACTTTTGGCTATGTGTGGTCTTGAAGCTCTGCTTAATTGGAAATAATTTCAAACCCTGGGCAATACTTACTAGATGTGCGGCACTTAAATATGGAAAAGGTATGGGAAAATTAAAATTCCAAGCGTTATTAGTGCTCTTTAACTTCTCAAATCTCCATATGAGTACGGTGCCACACGCGCCTTTTTTATAGGTAGCGATATTTCTGCCATTTTAATGCAATCAACGAGATGCAAACCGTCACACAGAGACGTCTTAGTGGACAAAAATGGGAAAATTCTTTGTATGTAGTCTGAACGTGTTTATTATTTTTGTAAACACAATTTATCCACTAAAACGAATTAAACCAAAGTTTCCTTATAAAACAAAGTACATATATACCGCCAGGGTGCTATTATTGTTAGCAAATTTAATACTAAGCATTTTAATCAGAGTACAGCCATAGCCTACGCATGGCGAAAAAATGTCTAAAATACATCTGTTGAAATAAAATATTGGTTTGACGGAATCTTTTTAAGTAAAATTAAACATAAAAAGGTGCCTACGGCATTCAAAAAAATAATTAATTCAAAAAAAAATATTTGGATCCCTCTATTAAATTTTTTAAATTTGATCTTACCTGAAAATAGTTCCAGAAACTTTTCTACCCCATAATTGCCTGGAAATCGATAACTTGGATCCCTGATTGCATTCATATTGTGCACCTTGATACGCTTAATCATAAATGTTATATTGTCTGGCTTGCCATCATTGTTAAAATCTGTGTGTGTTGAAAATAAATTACAAACAATGGCGAAATGATATTAATTACTTGTCACTGCCACTGTCTTTACTCACTGTCCCTTTCCCTTGAACTCACCTGTATTCTTGTAGATCGAATTGGCACGCTGCACATGCCGCGTAATCGCTTCAATGCTGGCCTCATCGGAGCCCATCTTCTGAAAGAACGTATGATCGGCTTGTAGATATAGCATACAGGTGATTTTGCGATCGTACATCGAGCGGCCGCTATCGATGGAATTTGTCTCGTATGCGGCATCGCGTCCTCGTCCACTCAATAAATTTGTCATCAACATGCTGTTGAAGTGTGGACTCTGTGGATTTGGCACTAGCATTATATCTGGATTATAATTGTTTACAATGATGTTGGGTTTCTTGGTGGCGCCATTTTTTGTTATAATTTCGACGTGCGTCTTGTGGCTGGGGCGATCATTGTTGTTATTGTTGTTGTTGTTGTTATTGTTGTTGTTGGTGAACATAGTCGACCAATTGGCGTTGAAAAAGTTGTTCGTATCGAAGCGATTGTTGTTGTTGTTGTTGTCATTGTAGTTGCCATTTGCATTACTGCTGCCATCATTTATGACAAAGTCGTAGGGATACGAACGATTATTGCTATTGTTATTATTATTGTTGTTTTTATTATTGTAGGTGCTAACAATGATATTCTTGTGCTTTGCATAGGTTTTGCGTAAGCCATTGTTATTATTATTATTGCTATTATTGTTGTTGTAATTAGTGTTGCTGTTGCTGTTGCTGTTGCTGTTGCTGTTGCTCGGATTATAACTGTTCACAATGATGTTGCGATTCTGTATGCCACCGCCAGTGGTGGACGAATTCGTGCCACTAATGTTATTGTTGTTGGCATTGTTTATATTTCGCAGCAAATCGCCATATCTGTCGGTGGCATCTTGTTCGACTGTAGCTGCATTACGCCACGTTGTTGTTGTTGTCGATTGCTGATACTTTTGCCGTTGCCGCTCCCTATTGTAGTTGTAGTCATCGTAGTTGTTATTGTTATTATTGTTAGTAGCCGTTTTCGTTGTAATGATCTCTGCGGCATCGCGATTGTCTCTTTCTCGTTCCCCGTCTCGTTCTCGTTCTCGATTTCGATTACGCGTACCCCCACCCGCGAATATGCTGAAATCATCATTATAAGGGACATCCAAGTCCAATGGCAGCGGCGGATTTTGATGGTCATCAGTGGATGTGGCCAGCTGTAAAAATAGATACAAGTGGAAAGCATAAAAGTCGGAATGGTCAATCGATGAATGTCAATGGCACAAGTTGCGTGCCAAATGGACTTTCCGTCAACAACGGGCGGCGCGCAATGGCATGCATTCGCATAATTGGTTCGGCTTTTGTGTTTGTAATTATGTACCTCATCCGGCAGCCAACGTTTGTGCCGCTCCAGCAATTTTGGCACTTCCGCTTTGGCCGTGGCCGCTTTCCGTCGCTTCAAATCACTTAGCAGCATATCACGGCGCAATCGTTCGCTGGCACAATGTTCTGCCGCAGCAGTCTTGCGCATTTGCACATCGCTTACTTTGTAAATGACGCTGTGCACACCCGTTGCCGGCAATTCGCGGGAATAGCGTTGCGCAGGTTCTACATAATAGTGCTCATCGGCCGTTTCAATGGTGGCATCGAGCAGGTTATCGCTGGTAAGAATGGCGTGCACATGAGAATTTTCGTCACCTGAAATAGTAGAAATGATATAGAATTGAAATATTATGCAACTTGAATTGAAGGTTGAATTTGTTTTCTAAATTTATAGATATGTATGTAAGTTTTAAATAGTAGTTAATCTATATATATAAGACAAGAAGGCATTTTTTTGTGCAGGATAAAGGGTCTGCACTGTTCGCTCGATTTTCAAAACTCGGGTGTCAAATCAATGCGCTTGGCCTGTAGATGTTTTATTTTTTGGAAAAGAGTTGCCACCTGCTGAACCATTAAATTCCAAATATTTAATAATCACTGCCCTCATATCTGCACATTCTGTTCGATTTTCCAAAATTAGGTGCCAAATTAAATGGCTTGGACTGTAGTTGCGCAATATGGTTTTAATATTTTTGAAAAGAGTTGCCACCTTTTAAAAAGTTATATTGAAACTAGATAATAAAAAAAATAAATAAATTATTTCAAAATGGGTATCAACCGAAATGGGTTTGAAAATCTTTGTTTCCTAACTGAACTATAGGAGACTTGCCACCTCTTCAAAAAATCATATTAGGTAAGAAAAATATGTATCACCTTATGGGTACCAAACGAAAGGGGTTTCAGAGAGTAGTAGCTTGAAAATATTTTTAATAGGGTTTCCACTTACTTGAAATGTCGAATTAAGTTTACTTATACATAAGTTGTATGAAACATCAAAATATGAATGTCAAACGAAGGAGTGTTAAGAAATATTTAGTTTGAATGCTAAGAATATTTTTGAGGTGTTGAAAGAGGGTTGCCACCAGTTTAAAAAGTTAACTTAAAATTATTCAATAAGTTTAATGAATTATTAAAATATGGGTATGAATCGAAGGGCGTTTGAAAAACTTGTATTTCTGAACTGTACTTAGCGGGGTTACCATATTTAAAAAAAAATCAAATTCCACTAATTCATCAGTTAATTAAAATATGTATCGCAATGTCAGGCGAAGGAGAGCTAGCAAGGATTAAGCTTGAAAATACTTTTGAAGAGGGCTGCCACCTGTTTGAAAGGTCTAACTCAATTAACTAAAAAAAAAGTATATGAAATATAAAAAAAAACCATAGTCAAACGAAAGAATGTTAAGAAGTCTTTAGTTTGACCATTTGAAATTTTCGAAGAGGGTTGCCACGTGTTTAAAAAGATACATTCAAATTATACATTTATATAGGAGGGTTGCCATTTGTTCGAACAATAAAATTCCCAATTAGCTCATCAGTTTATTGAAATACATGTGTATCACAATGTCAGACGAAAGACATTTAAAAAGATCTTAGTTTAGGAATACTTTTTAAATTAGTTTGAGAAATGAGACTTCAAATTAAAGACCTTACCTGTAGATGTGTGGTAAAGATTTTATTTTTTTTACGATGTAGTGATTATGGTAGCCGGTTTGTGCATAAATGTAATAAGCGGAATGCTTCAAAGAGCACTAGAGGAATTGGGTTCTTGGGCAGATAGCTGCTGGCTCAACGTTGATCCCTCGAAGACCGAACTACTATTATTCACCACAAGGAAAAAGATTCCTAATTTTTTAGTGTTTGTCAATGACAACTTAAGTCCTATTGTCTTATTCTATTAGAAGAAGAAGTTATTGATCGAATTCCATAAGAAATAACTTACTAAAAGCAATTATTTTGTGTATTTAAGTGAATTTATCATAGCACCATGGGGAGCAAGGCTAAATAGTTGCAAACTGTCACTCAGTGTTTTATGAAAAATAAATAGTTTGTGATAATATTCTCATAACTGTAAAACCATGTGACAGTCAACGCTATTACACACACAAAGAATTTAATACATTTGCGAAAATAGCGACCAAAAACGGTGAAACTACGTTTTTAGTTTTTCTCTCTGACATTGAAATTTTAAAGATATTAATAATTCAAAAAATCGTTTATAAAACGCAGTGCAATGTAGAATGACAATATTCGTATCATAAAAAAATTTAAATTTTTTGGCGCATAAAGACGAACAGATCTGTGTCGTTTTCAAAATTTTTAAAAAATTTTTTGTTAAGGGCTAATGTACACTCGACCACCTCCACGAATTTCACCCTTCCAACTTTATTAGCTTAAAAAGACAAAAAATAATTAAAAGAATATTTTTAATATTTACTCGTTCTTTTGAACCAAAAAAAAATTAACTATTTCAAATTCTACAGAATTTTCACTTTCATTTGGTGCCCATATTATTATTATACATTGCACTTAATTTTTTTTCGAACATTTTTTTGAATCCTGTTAAAAAAATCCGTACGTCACACAGTGCTGCGGCTCCATATAAAATATGGGCAAAAATACAATTATGGACGCATCTAAATGAAAACTTGTTTCCTAGTGAAATTGAGGACGATGAATTCAAAAACATGATTGATTTTTAAACCTTTCACACTTTTTCTGTAAATGCTGTTTGAAGTTCAAATTTTGGATTCTTGTTGCATTTACCTATGTATGTATGTACATAAAATTCGTTCGATTTTTAAAAGTGAGGTGTTATATTATAGGGATTGGCCTGTAGATACCCAATGAAGTTTTCTTTTTTTTGAAAGGCTTGCCACCAGTTAAAAAACTTTATTCAAATTATTTTTCTATGATTTAAATGATTTTTAGATTTACTCCTTTAAACTTCGGTAATATATTTATTTTCAACAAAATAAATTTTCATTTAAAATATAGCGAGTCTATACTATAGATTTTTTAACAAATTAATTTTTGCAGTTATCTTAAGGAATTTTAAACGGAAAATGAGAAATTTAACTTAATATCACATAAGTTGTACTTTTGAAAATTTTTCCCGCGTAAAGACTAAAACTGATGTGGCTGTGACTAAATTATTAGGTTGAAAATGCATCAACTTCAAGTACCTTTTTGCTGTGTTTAATTTATTTTATAAAAAAATTGGAACCGGAGCCTTGATAATGGATTAATTATTTTGCCAACTAACTATACCAATTACGTCCATATTTGGGACAACAACATTTCTGATTTTTGCTGTTGATAAAATTACGCAACTTTTGGTTTAATCTAATTTTTCGGAAGTGCTTTTTTGAACCTTTACAGGACAGGAGTTCAGGGCAAGTTAAAGTTCGAAGGTCATTTAGAAAGGTTGAAAAAGGCACTTCCAAAAAAAATTTCATACAAAAGTTGCGAATTTTTATCCTTAGAGTCCGAATCGGTAGTAAAAACATGTACATATATCTAATTTGAAAAAATGGACCTCCGGTCAGTTTAACCCCCTTCCGCTCTAAACCGGAAGTCGGTAGTATCACCAAAAGATAGACACCCTGTATATTTGCAATATTTCATGGTAATTTATATATACATACATACATAAGAAAGGGATGCGATACAAAGTTAGGGTTTTTTACCTCCCCATGGACCGATGAACTGTTGAGGTATTACGTTAAGGAAAGGTGGGTCGCCAGTTCGGAAAGGTTGTGAACCACTGCCTTACGCGATTAATATACATTTATTTTAAACGTTTTTTTCCATAGAATACTGAGTGACAAAGCGGAAATATTTAGCCGATAAATTCACTTAAAAGAGAAATAGATTTTTGAACCTAAAAGCAATTTCGTAATCTGCACAGATTTTCAAGTAAACAAACGTGAACAAAAAAACAAAACAACTCACTCATTCCTATCAGGTAAGAAAGTTTTTAATTACGAAATATTTATGAAATATCTAAAATATTTGCAGGAATCAACGCTTAACAAAGCGTGGTAACAAATCCTTTTAAGGAATTTTGAAAGTTACACCACAAAAATTATGAAGCTTGCTATGTGTGTGCCTACATATATGTATATGTATGCACATGTGTATGTTTGTATGAATGTAAGCATATATGGGGAAATAAATGAAATGTGAAATGTCCTTATCGATCCCAGATCTGTAAAAAAACTATTCAAGGTCAAAGGTCACATAAATTGATTTTGCAGGAGACTTTCAATAATAATAGCCAATTGTTTATTTAACCATTTTTCAATATCTACTAACGATTTTTTATTGTTCCGCCATTCTTTTCTTTGGGGTTTTTGGCGGACCTATACATTATAGTTGCGATGGAAAAATGGTTAAATAAGCCATTGGGTATTATTTTTGGGAATCTCCTGCAGATAAGCAGAGTTTCCCGATAGAAAAATATTGATTCTTAAGAAATCTATACCATTTCTACGAAAAGTTGTTTTTTCCCCATATAAAATACATGGAAAATTTTGGGCGCTTTGAGCGACCTCTAAATACTTTTTGATTTCAAAATAAAAAATAGGGAGAGAGCATAAATATTCCGACTTTACTTTTTCCCCCCCCACATGCATTTTTGGACTACCCTAATGCTTATATATATTTCATATAAATTTGTATGTTATATGTATAGGTAAATGCCTTTATAGTGCTGCACATGTCTACTAAACAATTTGTTGTAAAGAGACAAGCTGAGAAGGAGGATGATATTCTGCCCAAAGTTTTGGAAAACAATAATGAATTTATTAAAAAGGTGTGTGTACAGGGGCATCAATTTCAAGAACAAACATATGTATGTGTATGTATACACATACATTCATATACATACACATATACACCCATTGAAAATTTAAAAAAAAAAGTCTATGAAAGTGCAAGTACTTAAAGAACAAAATTCCTGCCCCAAACTTACTTTGGAACTTTGTTGTTTCTTACTTTGTTCGCTTTTTAATTTGATTTTTAATGTTGTTTTCTATTCATGTTTTTTTTTTTTGATTCTTTTCATTTTTGGATTACACAATGCCAAAGACTTTGCTCCTCTGTGCATAACACTTGTATTCATAAATATTTTTTCCTGTGAAAATATGTCCGCATAACTGTATGCGTCAGCTGCATAACCGAATAACTGGGGTACATACGAGTATGTAGTATGTATAGTTATGTATGTACATACGTGCATAGCTGCTAGTGGCATGGAATGCGAGCAGGGGAGTAGGATGGCGAACATTTTTTCAATGCCTATGAAAAGAAGC